CGATAGTCAAAACTCTCTTGTCCATATACCTTTTACTATAGCCTGTTCATTTCCTATCTAAACAGAACCCACATGACTATTAAATATGGGTGCTGCAAGGTTTTCATGTGAAAAACGTTAAATTTTGAAGAGGAACATCATCATCTTCCCTGCAGAAAAGCAATTCCATGTAAGGTGCAATGCATCATGCCCAAATGAAGCAATCACAGGGAACCTCTCCTTTTTTTCCCTCTTTCTCCTGCTGCCATTGGCATGGCTTCCTCTACATGAAAAGGATGTAGGATGACAGCTCTTTCGAGAGTGTCTGAGGAGGAGCTAGGGGAGAATGTACAGAAGGACTGACTGGCCCTATGAGGTGATTGTGGATGACCTAATCTGAAAAAGCCAGAAGAACCCATACACAAAGTCATGCAAGCTGCACAGCCATAACCAAGAGAAGGACCTTATATCAGTAGAACACTTGGATTAATCTAGTAAGCAAAGAAAAACCTAGTGCCAAGTGGGACAGATTTGGGTATAAGGTCATGATAACCTTCCACTGGCAGCATCAAGGCAGCACAGAGCTACCCACTTCTACAGCAAGTGTCAGCATACTACAATTCCTTTGAACTGTCAGGACACTGAGAGCATAGGGCTATGTGTCCTCATGTCAAACAGGGGAGGAAACCTTTTAGGTGACCAGTCTTCGCCTGCTCATGACTGAGAAACCATTCACACTCAGTCAGTAACTCTGCATGGTGGGATAGTTCCAGGTCTTGGACCTCAACCCTTTTTTCTCACCACACACAGGAGAGGTGCAAATGACTGGTCCCTGAAGCTCATTCCATCCCAGTGATACGGATGGGTGATGAGGTAGAGAGCTGTTAATTAACCCCATTTACCAAAGAGCAGGCACCCTCCTGCCTGGGCCCTGATTTTTCAGTCAAGCTCCAGTCCAGCAGGTGATTAATAACCTGAAGTGCTGTGGGAAGACTGCATCTATTATTCAAATTAATGAAATTATAATCAAGAGGTGACGAATTAGCAATTGCTCCTTGACTGGATATGGAAACTCATTACTGTGCTGGGAGTTTTGGTGGTGCTTGCTAAGCTCACAGGTTCTGGCTCAGCAGACAGGGGAACAGGGCAGAGGGAGATGGCACCTCAGAATGGTTCTGCTTTATGGCATGGCCACCTCCCTGCACATCTCCCTGTCAGCCTGCCACAACTAGCTTCCCAGCCTCAAACCACAGCAGCCACCACAGAGCTCTTTCTCCCACGGTTCCCTCCACCAACCCAATGTCTTCAGCATCCCTCCACACCCACAGTCCCTTCTGTGAGACAATCCCACAGCACATCTCACCATTTCAAGAAAAGAGAAAGGAATGCTGATAGCTACAAGAGAAGAGAACGGAGGGGGTAAGAATTGCAGAGGCATTTTGATAGGAAAAGGTGTGATATTGTAGTATGGTGATGGAGGTTGAGAGTAGAAGACCCTGTGTTGGTGTCAGGGAAAATGCAGAGGATAAGGGGGTGAAGCATTTCTACAAGACATACAGTAGGTGAAGGGCTACTAGAGAATTATAGGGAATTTCTGCCCTTCTTAGAGGAGGCTTAAAATGGGGCTTTGCAACCCTGGTTCAGGAATGGAGAAGGATTACTAGATGATAACAGAGGACTGTGGTACTTGAACCAATGTGCTTTGAACATACACTCACCAATGTGCTTCCCATACATGTGGTAGTAGAAGGAGACACAGTAGTATTTGGCGGTAATGTTGTACAGAGGGCTGATCAGCCGGGCCTTGTCTCCTTCCACTCGGGGCCGAGAGGCTTCAATGAACATGTAATAACCTGCAGAACAAGAGGGAAAGGTGAGGAAAGGCAATGTGCCATGTCTCCTGCCCTACAGGTCACAGAGGATGCTGACAGCTTAGAACCTATATGTCACGTGGGCTTTGAAACAAAAATGCAACCGGGAGCATTGCTCTTCTCACCCTGCATGGGCCTCTTGTGTTCTGAAACCAGCTGGCCATGCTTTTGACCTGACGTGCCCATTGTAACTACCTAGAGTTTTTCACCTGCCTCACACTACCAGGGACTGAGGGAAGTGAAAATGAGCCATTTAATTTCACTGTCCCAAGCGGAGAGAAAGAAACTCTAATAATCTGTGAGATCTTTAAATAACAATGCTGAGGAGGTTCATAGCAAGAGGATCAAGAACAGCTTTGCAACACAGCTGTTTATTTTGCTAGGGTCCTTTTCCTGATGGAGCAACTGCTATGAGAAACATCTGCAGGAAAAGGAATTTACTTGGCTGGTTAACGGGGGTTTCCTTATTTGTTCTTGATTCACATATCTGTTCTCAGATAAGAATTTATTCTCCTTCACAGAGGGAGGGAGGAACTGTGGTCATGCTATACCTACACTGCAGAACATGTCCCTTGTCCAGTTTGAAGGCTCATTCTGTATCCCTCTGCCACCCCGGAGAACTGGCAAACAGAGGGAACCTTTGGGCAAGGGCCATTCCGAAGCGGGCCGATACATGCTTCCCTTCAGCATTCACCCTATAAACCTCAGCCCTCAAGGTCTCACACAAACTCCTTCCAAGTGACTCTTAACCCAGGAGAGATGTGGTGCCCTTACCAGGTTCTTCCTCAGGAAAATATCTGGCTGAAACCAAGTTGGGCCCTTCTAAGTGCTAGAGAAGTTTTCCTACTTGCTTCTCCTTTTGTGACTTCAAAACAAGCATCAAATGGGACAAGGGCATTTGGCAGCAGGCAATTAGCTGGTAACGAGGACTAATGCTCTGACTATTCCTTTAAACAAAGTCGTGGGCGTTCTAATTGTGTATTTAATGCCAATCAGTAACATGCAAATTAATTGCATGCTCCCTGCACCCCATGTAGAGCAGAAGCATGTGCCTGGAAAACAGAACGACACTCAGTCTTCAGGGTCGTGTGGTGCTGAGGGGCTACAGAGAACCTGAAGAGGGCTTGGCACAATAGAGTGTAACTGTTCTCTGCCTCCACTGTGCACTTGGAGGGCAGATGGGCAACAGGAACAACAGCAGTCTACGTACCATCTTTGGTGCCACTGATGTCTGTGGGTGGGCCAGTGTTGACGGTGCGCTTCGGGTTCTGCGTCTGGGCATTCTGACGAGTCCAGTCAAAGTTGTCCATCCTGTCTTGCATGAAGCCACAGATTTTTTCATCCTCAAAGTGGCAGGTGTTATCTGTGGGTGGGAACAGTAGCTGATTTTGATCAGCCAAACCTGCCTGGAGAGAGTGATTGCCTACAAGGGGAAATGAAGATCCTGCAGGCTGTTCTGAGGAAGCAGGACTATAGGAGCGTAAAATTAACAAAAGAAGCATTTATGTTAACCAGACCAGAAAGGATTCCCAACAGCAAGAGCTACCTGACTGTGGAATCATCTCCTCAGAGAAAAGATCGAATGACCCGTCACATGGGATATTTTCAACTAGGGTGGACCAAGCATGTGCAAGTACTCTGCAGAGAAGAACTTGAGGCCAGACGTAGAAAACATCTGCTAGGACAGCTATAGTAGAAAGCCCAACTTGTGTAGATCCAGTTTATACTAGCAAAAAAGTCGTCTATTGCCATATTAACTTTGGTATAAGTTAATTAACTTTGTTAGTAGAAACTAGTTCCTCAAGCAAAATACATTATGCCAGCCAGAGGTATAGCAGGGCAGGTCTGTGCCTAGGCCAGCCACCAGTATATGGGTGCAGTGCCACCTCCTCCTGCACTGATTATGGCAACACTGACAGCCACCACTGCAGCCCCCGCAAAGGCAGCATCTGAAGCTGTTGCCCTGCCTGGTCACCCCCTCTCAGTTGCACTACTGCTACTAGCAGAATAACTTTTATGCAGGTAGAACTGTATCTATACTAGGGCTTCTGCTGCTATAGGGATGTTGTGAAAGGGTCAATGGGTAGCAGAAGACTCCCGGGCAGACCTGGCGTGACACTGATTCCCAGACTGGACCCAACATGACAAAACTTCTCCATTCTAACTTTTATCATAAAGGGCCAGTCCCAGAGTAATGAGACTGTGGCCCACCCTTAGATTCCTATACAGGGGTTCTGTTAAGTCAATGGAAACTGCACACATAGGAGAGAAAAAAGAGCAGAAACATTCCAGGGGTTGGCCATGAAAAATGCTTAGAGGTCTGAAGAGAGAGATGAAATCAGGGCTGAAAGCAGAAGAGATTGGAACGTCTCAATTTAGAGGAAGCAAATAGGAGGGGACATGAGTGAGGTACAGAAAGTAGTGAAAGGTGCAAAGAAGGATCTTCTCCTAGCCCTCTGTCATGTGAAAATAAGGCACACAATGAAATTGGCAGGTAACTGGTTTAAAAACCATAAAGAAGAAACAGGTTGTGGGGAGACAGCGACCCTCCTGCTCTGGCACCTCAGCTGAATGTTAAGTTACCCGGTGTTAGGAAGAAATACCTTTCACCACAGGCAGCTTAGTGCACAGCTCAATTGTATGAGGGCTCACACCCACAAATAGCACCTGGCCCTGGGCACAGCTGGAGAGGGTTCTGATATGCTGCATCAGCTCCTGTCTTCTCAAAATCTTACATCTTCAACAAGTGAGATTCCCAATGCAGTTTGCCAGCTGACAGAGGGCAAGGGCCATCCGGGTTCTAGTGGCTCAGTCAGCACATGTGGAGACTTTTCTGGAGTAGGGGATTTGGAGGTTCTAGATGGCTTCCCTCTTCCTCTATCTACTCTGGTCTCTCCTCGATGGCTCATTGTGCAAGTGAGAACAGAGAACTTGACCCATTCTGAGACCCACCGATACCTAGACAAGGTCCTCAATGCCACTCGTTATGTATGAGCTGTCTGAAGGGTCCATTCACACTGACCAAGGCAGCTGGCCTTGCTGAGAAAGCTCTGCAGGGCCGTGTAGCTCAGCAGGAAACAACTCCTGTGAGCTGAATGCAGCTATACGAGGCTGTGCTGGCCACTTAACTGCTGATTAACCCTGGCTAAGTGCTTTCCGTTCAGTCCATTCATTTTTAATTAGCATCCTAATCCAAATTACTCACTGCCTTGTAGTGCCGAGCAAAAGGGGCTGCTCAGCATCTGAAGCTGGTGGAAGAGAAGAGAGAAGTGGGGGGATTGGACATGCAGGTGCCTGGGTGATCTTCAGCATGAGGATCACACAGTCTCTACAGTTTGTATTGTGTCTGCCTCAGAGACAGAGAGGGCAGAGAGACAGCAACTACTCCATTTCCTTTCCAGGGGCTTAGGTGAATGAGGTGGCTGAGCTTCAGGCTTACCAATGCCACTTGATGGCCTGAGACATTCAGATTGCACAGGGAAGGCTGGTCCCTACCAGCTCTCCAGTGTGGTGAGTTTGATCCAACACACCCCAGCTTCTCCTCCACTAGGCTCAGCATCTGTACCAGTGCAATGAACCCTGCCAGAGTGAAGCCTACCTCCAAAGTACTTTAGCTGTAGCTCACAGGAGGTGGGATATGGTTAGCTGAATGCGAGGTGTGCTCATCACATGTCTTTATCCCAAATGCAACTCCAGCTCAGAATGACTGCACAGAGATGGGGGGCCTGGTACACTGGAAAGGAGGAAAATGAACAGTGTATGAGCTCTGGGGATGCACTGAAATGTTTGGGGATGTCTACCTATGCCTTGCAGCTGTCTGGGCAAAGAGTTCCCACTCTCCCAGGTGGCATGCACTATAACTGAACCTTTGTCAACAGCTTTGCCAAGACATCTCTTAGGATGGGGACACTGGCACACATTGGGATATAGAGGGAACTGTGCAGCTGGTGCCCCGGGTGCCGTTCCTTGAATGGGCATGGCACTTCAGTCTCCAGGGAAACAGGCTACCCCTTTCAATAGCACAAAAATCTACATAGCATGGGAAAGAAAAAGAGAACTCAATATAGAAATAAGCAGCCTCATGAAGAAGCTGGGTGGCATCTATTTGGGCTGGTTTAAGAAGAGAGTAACCTGTACCTCTGCAGGTGGTCAGACTACAGGGGGCCTTTTGGCTGCACTTCTATCTATCCAGAACATGGAGGATACAGCTGCCTGAGTGACCATGGAAAGTGGTAAGGGATTGTCATGAAGAAAGTCTTTGGCATGGGGTTGTGAGATGAAACCCCTCAGAGACAGGAACAGAAAACTGAGCAGGCAGGAGGCAGAGACCCCTTACTACGATGCTGGGAGGAATCTGCTCTATCACAAGACATGGATCACTGTCATGAAACAGAACTACCATCCTACAATTCCTTTAACACACACATCCCTGGACTGAAACTGCTTCTCTTGCTGAAATGAAGCCATTTATAGGGTGCAGTGTAGCTCCCCTAAGAACATCTTAGCCAGGCAGTGAAGAAGAATCCCAGAACCAATAAAGGCTAAACCAGATAATCTCTATAGGAATGTGTATGGGTGTTCTGCTGAGCATCTTGTGTGGGGATCTGAATTCTTTGTCAATCTCTAGTTATTCCTATCTGAGGAGCCCAAAGCACCCTCTAATTTTTAACAAACTATTCTCAGTTCCTCTGGGATGCAGAAAATCATCTCTCCCATTTGACAGATGGGAATGCCAAGATGCAGAAGCAGCAGGGGACTCATATAAGGTCACAGCCAGCCAGGGACACAGCTAGAAACAGAACCCCGATGCCCTGACTCCTAGTCCCCTCCTTTAAAATGGCAGACCATGCTTTCACTCCTCCAGAGCCAAGCTGCAAGACCAAGCCAGTTTTGCAGAGGTGAATACATCTCCTCTGTGTTTTTGATAGATACCTGTAGACAGGGCTGTAGCCGGGACATGTTCTGTTTGGCTTAGGATGCAAACAGAACTCTACCCCTTAGTAAGGTCAAAAGGTTATGAGCACGTCTCACTGTGAGAAACCTGGCAGATCCACCTGGAAATAAACCTTTTCAATGACTCTGCATCCCTGGGGCTGTAGCAGTGATCTACCTGCTGCCCCCAACAATGCGACGTATGCCTGGTCTCAGAGTTGGTCCATCTGGCTAGGATTCTGGTACAGCCCTTGAGAAGCAAGAAAACTCTCCTATTTAAAAATAAAACCTTTGGTTTAAATACTGAACATGTAAATTGTTCACTGGATTGTTAAAAATGAGGTTGGGCTGGAGGGGAAGCCGGTTCCTCAGAAGCAATTCCTCCTTCACCCAACTGATTTTCTCTATGTGCTATCTGCAGTGGCTGCAGCTAAAGGTGTCGAAGTATTTGTTCCTCTGCTCACATGGAAAAGATCTTCTGCTGTGACTATTAGCATTTTTTGGCTTTTTCCCCTCCTAGGTGAATGGAAGAGAGGTTTTCATTTCAGCCCTGGGGAAGCCATCCCAAGCTTTGATATTTAGGCTGTAGGAGCACAAATGAAGAAGCAGCCAAGTACTGACAATGGAGATATTACATACTTAAATGTACCTGAATTGTGTTCACTATCACTGTAGCACAATGCCTGCAGTAGAAGATTAGGGCACAGGACACCATGATTTCAGCCCCAGGTGGGTGCGTGACTGGCTAGGTGCATGACAAGCCATTTTCCCATCTCCAAAATGAGGCTAGTGTTCCTTAATCATGCTTGCAAAGTGTTTTGGAATCTCTGCATAAAGAGTGCTCTTCAAGAGCATTAAATATTATTTCTATGAGTGCCTTCCACCAAGGATCTCAACATACTTTATCAACATTAATTAACTGAACTTCATAACACCCCTGTGAGATAAGTAATTATTATCCCTGTATTACAGATGGGGAAATTAAAGCAGACAGTGTTATACAGCCTGATTTGCCCTCATTACACAATGAGACACTGGCAGAGCTGGAAGCAAAAACAAAGGTTCAAAATATTTACTCTGCTCCTCCGACCATTATATCCATCTAGAGCAGTGATTCTCAGCCAGGGTGTTGTGATACCCTGGGATGCCTTGAGATCCTTTCAATGGTGCTGCAGCTGTCAGGTGTGCAAGCACTGTCGGGTGTGCAAGCATGATTCATAAGATAACTCCAGAGATTCCAGCCATGGTGTTAAAACCATTCTGACCTGCTGTGGTTTTTCTGAGTTCTTCGTAACAGGAGAATTGCTCTAGTATTTTTCTGTGTCAAAAATCAAGTGAAAACTAGAAGCTACCAACAATGCCTTGAGTCTGAAAAGGCTGAGAACCACTGCTCTAGACCAAAAATACTCCTTTTCCATGGTTGAGCACAGGACTTAGAAATCCTGAGTTTCTAGGTGTAAATGGATGTCAACTGTGTCCTGGAACAGCTGATTCGCTTCATTGGGCAAAACATGTCATCCACTGTGCCAACTGTTGATCCTGTGGGACAATGGGCAACGTATTCCCTGCTTGCACAGATATGCTCCAGGGTGCATCTCTGTAAACAGGGAAAATGAGTTATCTGCTTACAAAGACTTCCTAGAGATTCCCTCTGGTGCATCTGTAAGAGACAAAAGCTGGACAGGAGCTCCCAGGGCTTGAGAGACCCAATCCTGCATGGGACCTTCTGGGGTACACAGGGTTGGGCCCCTCAAGCCACGGGGGCACCTGCCTGGGGCAACTGGAGAGTGCAGGCCATCTGCACTCTCACGCCATAAACCTAACAGACATCTGCCACAATAAAGCGGTGGAAAATACTACCACCTTTGTTGCACCCACATATTTGTGGAACAAAAAATGGTATAAATGTCTCTTTGCTTTCCCTTTGTGCCACCAGAAAAAACGTTATGCCAGCACAAAGGTGACGTTTATTTATTCCCTCAGTCTTCTACTCTTCCACTAAGTCATTTCTCATTCCCATGCACTGACCTTAGGCAAGGAAATTCAGCTTTCTCTGGATCATCTGGGACTGGCAGAATTGGAAGCACTAGATGTCTAGCAAAGGAGCAGATGAATTCATAGGCCTATTCTGGTATGACAAGTCCCATGCATTGATCATTCCCTGTCAGGTCTCTTTAGCACTATGTTCAGTTACTGAAGCCAGAGAAAGAGTGCTGTTCCTACTCAGGAAGGGAATGGCAGGCTGGCAGAAAATATAATGAAAATGTCTCGTATTTCTCTCTGCCTCGATCTTCAAGGTTGCTAGAATGTACATCTAAAGAATCATTCCACCTGCCACTTCTGGGGTGGAAGAGAACAGCTGTTTAACAGCACACAGTGCAAGATTTCAGGTGAAGAAATGAAGACTGTATTTGACTGACATGGCAGACAGAATGGAAGGAAGCAGACTGGAACTCAGAGTGGATATTTGGCATGGAGACCCTGATTAACTTCCTTGCTCTCGCAATAAGAACTAAAAGAGATCTTTCATGACCACAAGAGGTCAGGTTCAAATGAAATAACAAAGGAGTCAGGTGAAGTAATACTAGCCTCAGATCGATTTTTACTGGTTACGGTCAGTCCCATTCCCAACCTCCAAGTGCATGAGGCTTCAGCACCCCCTCCCTAGACCTTCATTTGAAATTGCTGTTTCTGTATAATCCCGGCACCTGCCTCAGTAACCAGGCCACATGCAAGCATGCCCTGATGTCATTAACATCTTATTAGGCGAGGAGAGAAAATGCATGAAGAAATAATTATATCAAGCAACTCTCTGAGTCTATAAATTAATCACTATTGTGTGTGTCCTTGGATCAGGCTGCCAGGGGCATTAATCATCTAATCTTTGCCTTTCACTCCAGAGCACGGGGTATCTGTTCCCAGTGTTTAGCTGGGCAGCCAAGCATGGCCCTGTGGCTCTCTTTGCTGCCCTTTCACCATGTAGGGGAACGCCAGAATTCAAAGCAGGAGAAGAGTTAAGGGCCTCTGCTGATCTGTGAACTGGGTGATATTCTGGGTTATTCTCTTTGCAGCATGGATACAAAGCTAAATGTCTGTGTGAATGCACTGGTCAGAAGGTCTGAAGGGAAAGGGGCATCTCTGGAAAGCAAGGGAAGCTAGAGCAACCATGTCCTCACATATATGTCCCTGCACTCAGTGTAAACCTTCTGGCTTTTCTCAAAGTAGAACACTACATGCTGGCTCTGTGGCTGCTCCTCTGTATGGAAATATGAGGCTGGCTGCACTCTCACCAATATTAAGACACATTGGGTGAAGTGTCCTGGCTCTTATCAAGCAGCAAAAGCTGTCCCTGCCTGAGCAGAACTTGGCAGTTCCATATATAATGTGTTGAAGAAGACTGCCATACTCAAGACGAAGGCCACAATGGCATTTCTAGTTGCTGAAAGGAAAGACTGTTATCTCATTTACTGAGCTAGGATGCTCTACCCAGGCTAGCTGCTGAAGTAAATGTACTCTGGAAGCACAGACTGCAAAACCCTGTTCATTGTTTCCCAATGATTCTTTCCCAGAGGATGTCTAGGAGCCACGTTGTGGAGAATAAGGGGACAGTGGCAGCCTTCCCTTTAGTGAAGTGGAGAATGAGAGAAATTAGCACCAGAGAAGCCCTGCAACAATGTTGAATGCCCTCAGATAGGACATGAGCCTTCCTAAGGCTCCCTAAGGCAGGGTGGGGGTCAAAGAACATTACATAAAGGGAATTACATTTTGTTTGCAGAAATGTCTCGTGGTTCTCTCCCCTCTTAGCTGGAAAACCTAACCCCACTCCTAGCCACCATTATCCAGAGCCAGTGTCCCTTTCCAGCCATCACCCCATTGTTTGTAGCATCCACAGTACTAGCTTATCTGAAAAAGTAACATTTGGATACTCTTGAATATATGTTCAGCTTCTCTTACTGCAATGTGGCAGCTGGAAATAAAGAGGAAGAGCCAGCACCATGGGACTAGCCTGCTCCCTGTGACCCATTAGCTCTGTCAGCCTCTACCTCACATTAGTCATTACCCTGTGATTCAAGCAATGGGGCCTCCATCCAACCTGAAAGAGATGATTCCACAACTTCTTATAACCCCCTGGGCTCTTCCTAAGCAATCTGCTCTCATGACATCTGGGCACCATCCTGTGGCCTGATTTTTCAAAGATGCTGAGTGCTCTCAACAGAATCAGTGGGGGCTCTGGGTTCTCAATACCTCAGATAAATCAGGCCAACATCCAGTTCCCTAAGATCTGGGATCTCACCATATCTCAAAGGGATAAGACATTACTGAAGAAAAGAACAATGCTGTGCAATAAACAACTGGGAATACAGATGTTTGTAGGGGAACTAGATCCACAGTGGAGAATATTCGCCAACATGCAACATCCTACAGAGGTTTTAGGAAGATTCTTTCCCAGTTAGAACAGAATGGGGGTTATTAAAAAGACATACACACACACAAACACATATGGGTGTCTATGCTGAGTTACTAATTTCACCATTCATGTTGGGGCATGTTGCTAACATGAAGAGAGTGCTATTGGCAGTCACGTCTTTCCCAGTCGTGTGGACAGCAGGGGCGAGATCCCACTCCACTCTGATCCTATTTTACCCTGCTCAAGTCCCTGAGAAATGTTAGCATGCCTGTTTTTGTGATGCACCATCACCTTAGCCATAAGACTGAATCACAACAGGCAGCATGCAAGAGGACTGCCCACCCACCTTTTGTATTACCTGTTTTTCAGGGACTGAGTAAGGTGGAATAGGAGTCTTCTTAGACACCTAAATAGGTGGAATAGGATCTGGCCCCAGGTGTACGGGAGAGGGGTTTTTGGGTGCCTTTCTCCTTTTTTGGGCACCCAAAAAATTGCTTCCCATTGGAACATTTTTTAATGCTCTGTCAGAGAAAGGATCTGGCAAAGCTATCTCTGCCACTCGATGTTCCTGGCAGGACTCTGCCTCACAAATCTGGCATCTGCTGGGGCAGCCATAGGCTACAATCATTCTGTACAGTTGAAAAAAAAAAATCAGTGGTTTCACTGCCTACCTGCTGGGCTGGGAGAGTTGATTGCTGGGGAAGGAAACAGAAAACAGGAAGGGTTAGAATAACATTTTTTCCCACAAGATAAACTAAGAATCTGGATTAAAAAAAAAAAAAAAGTTTAAGTAATGTGACTCGTGCCTACATTGCCCAGCCCATGGGTCCTGAGCTGAAGAAGGGAAACTTTTCACATTTGGGACACAACAAGGTGTTTGGGTTTGGTCATTCTTCTTTTCCCAGTGAAAACAGAACCCCAGAAGCAAACCTTTGGCTCTGAGCAAGCCCCTGGGTCTTGTGTCTATGCAGGAAGGACATTCTGGTGCCCCAAGCTCACTCTTTTGTAGAATCGAATGGGGATGAGTATCCAGTGTGGATACCAAGACAGTTTGATATCCTGGGGGAAAACTGACTAGCCCTTAGAAGGTGGATCTGCCAACCTAGAGGGAACAAGTGGATCCCAGACCCCTCTGTAGGGAATGGGTATCCCGAGGGAAAATGAGTCACAGGGGTATCCCATGGGACTCGATGGGTCACACATCCTCTGCTGAAGGGAAAGAACTCAATTTCAGGATGTGACTGAGTAGGTTTGTACTCCTTGAAGTCTCCTGCTATCTGATATCCTGCAGGAACTGGGGAGGTGGAGAGCCTTCTGCTTATGGGGCCTAGTGATCTACAGGATTGGAGGCTGGAGTCAGCATCCCAAGGGGATGGAAACCTGCCTACAGCTATAGTGTCTGCTTGCTATCAGAAGAGCAGTGGCATTAATTTATTTAAAGGTCACTGCAGTCCACTTTCCTTTGTGGTCAGTCTGGCTAGAACACACTACCTATGGCCTGGATATGAACACAGTTTCCTTATAGTAGCCAAAGTTTCCATATGGCCTGATTGGAAAGACTGGGCTCCAAGCAGCTGGAGAGTGAAAAGCACATGTCAGAGGTGGGGGTGTGTGTGGAATGAGTTGAGGATTAGTCTCCTGTAGCCCATGCATGAGGTCCCGAGCCAAAGCGCAGAGATGACATTGCAATACCATAGTGCTAGATAACATCCAAGAACCCTCCTGGGACCACAATGCTAGAAACAATCCAACAATAAAACTCTCCTCCTTTTGCCTGAGCCACTAAAAAGCCCTGACTTTGCAGGGCAGAGGGGAGATACCTACGTTCCAGGTATTGGATGATGCGGGAAGCCATATCTCCAGCCCCAAAGCTAGTTATAGGAGTCAGGCGGACCTCATAGCTCTGAGGCACCTTCAGATTGGGCAAGACATGCTCCAGCAAGAGGCCTTTTTCCATCTTCTGCACAGGAATGAATGTCTGGATGGTGTTCCTTTGACTTAGCTGCAAAGAAAGACAGCAGATCCCAGTGTTAACAGCACCCTGAAGGGAAGAGCCTCAAGACTCTATGGACCAAGCCCTATTCCCTTGTAAGTGGACAAGATGGTCAGGGCCTATTTCAGAAATGTCTGCAACATTTCCTCCTTGCCATAGAAGTGTACTCCAAAATCTTATCTTTCATTTAGGACAGGGCTGTCCATCCAGTGGCTTGTGGACCCCTACAGCCATATCTTCCATAGCAGCACAGCAGGGAAGGGCCTGGAGGGAGCGGGTGGGGGGAAGAATGTGGGCTACCACTGCTGCTCACGGGGACTACATGGGCAGTGCATGGCCTCCCACCTCCCTGACACACGGAGGTAGTGCACAGCCCATTCAACAGGGGAGCAAGGGCCAAGTGCTGCTGGTGCTGTCAACATTGTAGGGGAAGAAGTCCTGGGGGCCCAATCCATAGTGTATGGCTCATGTGGTATGCCGTTTGGGGGCGCACACACCAGTGCCACAAGCTGCAGGGAAGTTGGACAGCCCTGATTTAGAAAAAAACCCCTTCTGGATGAGAAGATAACCTCATAAGGATGAACCAAGCATCAACCAATGTATATCTGAGTCTGCACAGAGCACAACCCTGCAGACAACTGCCTCATTCATCTCAGACAGGGCCTCATGACACCTTACACATAGCAGATGATGCTTTTCCAAGATACAGCTAAATTTAGAATTTTGTCTAAAGAATTTGTGCTTTGGCTGCAGCTGGGTTTGGAGCATTTCACTTCCTGTTTCCCTGACCTGCTGGAACCTGCCTGTAGCTGCCCCTTGTTCTGCACCTTTCTTCACCAGGGAAGGATTAACTGGATTATAGTACAGGCACCCTTCACTGTTGCACAGAACCAGGCAAGGATCACAGCTGAAATCTAATAGATATCCACAGGTTAGGAGGAGTCAGGAATGTAGCCAGCAAACAGCAATGCCTATGGCACAGAGCAGCAGCCCAAGATCCAGAGAGCTGAGAAAATGATTCATGGGATTTGATAAACAGACGCTTCCCCCTTTTCTGAGACATATGGGGTGGAGAGATGAAATCAGGCAGCTTAGACAATATCTCAACTGCTGAGACCCACAGAGCTGGGGTTTTTGGAAGAAACAGTGAAAAAAGAGCATTGTCAAAAACAGCCATTGCTGAAGTGATCATGATGCATATGGGCTTTTCAGCCACGGGTCAATCGCATGTGTATATAGGCATGGAAGGGATCAAAATGGAGAGTGTTTCATAGAAATGCAATTCATTAATGCTGCCATGGAACATATGCAGAGATAACATTGGCCCTTGCTTATGGGACCTTCAACCATGTCTCACCCAGCCCGATGTCATGTGTCCAAAATACTGGGACTTCCCTCATTTCCTCTGAAGAATTATCCAGCCTGACAGATTTCACTGTAAGGCTCTACATGGCTGGCTTTAATGCAGGATTTACTGGCCTGGAACAACAATGGGGGGATCCCAGTGTGGCAAGTGGGAATCAAAGTGCACTGGCAAAGCTCTGTGTGGAGACCAGAATTAGCATGACAGGATCTTGTCAAGTGGCCAACAAAGGGTCAGCAGTGAAGAGAACTAGCAGAGCTGTGTGTGGGGAGCCCAGCACCGGGATAGCAGGGAGCTACAGGGCAGGGGTGAGACATTAGCAAAGCTGTTGGGAGAGCGAACAAAGACAGATCCATTTTCTCCTTGGTTCTAACCCTTCACCTACTTGACACTGTAGTTCACTAACAAAATTAAAACCTCTGGCTGCCGCAGGGGTTGCCTAATACCAGAGCCCTGTGCTTTGCTAAGGCAGCCAGGATCCAAATCCCCCACCAGCAGTTAATTTGGCCACACGCTGGACACAGCTCCCCCATGGAAATTTTAATGGCAGGTCACAGCGGAGCCTTGCCAAGCAGCTAGAAATGGAGCAGACCCAAGCCTGTGGGAGCCTAGCTGAATCCTGAAGCCTGACAGGGAAGGAGACCTTTGCTTCACCTCAAACAGGCTGGATTGCAAGCTGCTTGTGTAACAGCTCTGTGCGCCTTCCATCTCCACCAGCAGAAGGAGACGGCAGAGCCAGGCACTCCTCCTGCCTCACTCTACTTTGGTTCCCAGCAGACTCTGAGCACAGCTTCTCCCACGCCTGAGGGGCAGGACTGGGGCAGCCCCTGTGGGAACAGAGTGTGACCTTGGGTGCTGGGATGCTGTCAGGACCCATTTGCATCAGCACTGTCCCATCTGCACACAGGCTCGCTGGGTGCTGATCCCACTGGAATCCCTGCAGCTCAACCCTCCTGTCTGTCAGCATATCTCATATATGCTCTGCTAAGCAAGAGTGGATCCAGTTCCTGACAGCAGTGACCTCAGGTGCACGGATTCATACCATATGAGCAATAATCTGGTCGCCAGCCAGGATAAGAAGGATGTATGATGCCAAAATGGAGGGTGAACTGTAGTCCCAAGTGGGGTGGGATTTGATAAGGAATGCCTGATCCACGGCCTGCAGACCCATTCTCCCTTAAGGCCACCTCAGTCCCTGGGCACTGGGGAGATACAGCCGGCACGGAGAAGGTCAGGAAACAATTCCCTGTTTTAGCCATTACCTTTGGATGGGAAACTGAAGTGGAGAGCTAGAGAGAAGTCAACAGCCAAAAACATCAGCAATAAGGACCGTTAGTTCCTGCTCTGCATTTCATGGCTCTGTACTACAGCTGGAACTTACACACTCCTGGTCCAATAAATCACTAGCACCACTTTCTGTAGCACCAGGTTTTACTCAAAGTGTGGACCAGGCCTGGCCCTGCCAGTTAAGTCTGGTAAGATCAAAGCTTGGCATATCTCTGCTAGTGACAAAGTGGCGTTTGGAGACCTCAGTTTTCCCACACACAAAGAAGTTGCAGAGGACAACAGGGCAGCTAGGACTTCCTATACTTTCTCAGGTATCTGAAACTCACTTCAAGATATTCTCTTCTCCACCACTGCCATGACATGGAGGGGCTTCCAGTAGACACTCCCTTTCATTCTGCATGGCCCTTTCAAACTTTGACTTCTTCGCTGAGATTGTCCATAAAGGGCCAATTAGCTCCAAAATGTAGTGGCAGTTCTTATGTGGTGGGTACCTGTTCCCCAGGAAAGTTACAGAAAGATCACAGAATCATAAAGTAGGGCTGGAAAGGTTCTCCATAGGTCATCTAGTCCAGCCCCTGAGCCTGAGGCAGGATCACTTCTATCCAAACCACCCTATACAAATCCATTGTCTAACCTCTCAGCAAAACAACACAGTAAACTCCGATATAATACAAGATATAGCACCTTAACCTACCATAAGCAGGGGGATGGTAGTTGATGGTGGCCAACATCCTGCTGCTATAAAGGTTGTTAATATATGCCCAAGGGATCCCAGGAAGCGGGCCGTGCTTCTACTATAGAGGACAGCAAACCCCCCACAATCCATACCAATCTGACTATGGGGTAAAATTCCTTCATGACTCAGAATATGTTGATCGGTCTGACCCTGAGCAGATGGGCAAGATCCTCTAGCCAGCACCCTCCAGCTTTAAGTCCCGGCAGGAGCACTGGCAAACCCCAGTCAAAATCCCTAGTGTTGGCTGCAGCCAACATCCAATGCCACTGAAGAAGGCTTAAAAAACCCTGATACATGTAGACTTTTAACAGAAAGTCCCATTTCTGCTAGAGATACCTATACCCAATGTCTCAAAAGAGGTATGGAACAGGGAATTTTCTCTACCCTGTTATGCAGGCCATTGTTATACAGTCCTCTTCACTTCATCTGTGTTCAACTTCATGGGAACTCATCAGCCCACAAAACACTTCATATCACCTGTCAATAATCCTTATTTTTGAAATACCCATCTTGGAAAGATGATGTCTTCTCTCAAAATCCTGGGAGAGATGGCATACATAAAAGGTCACTGAATCTCTCCCCTTCAGCAGAGAATTACACAGCAGCTCTTCTTCCAGCTTCTATCAGGCCACTCCCTAGTCCAGAATCAGTAGGCTTCACTGCTGTAGATGACCCCTTTCTACCTTCTTCTGCTCCATGGCCCCTGGAACATCCCACTGCCTTGTCCCTATGGTGCTGGCATCTTTGCAGAAGCAGCCCAGGATATTTTCTGGAAGTACTGACACCTATACACTAGCATAGGCCCAAGCACCCGCTGAAGTGAGTCACTGTCAGTGAGAAGGTCCCTGAGGTGTTTCAGGCAGATCACAAAGTATAAGCGAGAACAAGTGAGTTGTTCCAGACAGCCAGTTGCTTTAAACCTCTGGAGCAAGTGTTTGCTAGCAAGGACCACTACAGGCACACAGGGCAACAATATAAAGGGCCCAGGTCTGGCTATAACCCCCAGATGTTCTTCCCCCTTCCCTGCCCCCAATGACTGATGGCTGCAGCTCTGGGCAGAGCACACTGCAGCTGTACACATCAATCTGGGGGAAGCTTTTTATTCTTCCATAGGGATATCACACTGCCATCTTCACTGCCCCCCTATATCTGTGCTCCTCCCTATGCTGCTCTGGGACCTTTTCTTTCTTATAGCTCCCTTTCTCCTCCTGATCATGCTGGCCCAGTGCTGTGGCCTAATATTGCTCTGGCAGAGTTAATGAAACACATACAGAGCCATCAAGGCTGGCTACCTTATTAGAGATTCCAAAGCCTCAGTGGAGACGCTCACGCAGGACCCAGCAATGAGCTCATTCATCACCAGGCGCAGGAAACTGCCAGTGGGGCCAATGCAGGAACAGAGCGCAATGCACAGACTCATCTCTGCCTTCAGCTCCTTCCATTTAAAATAATGAGAGGAAAGAAAAAATACACCCATTCCTCTCAGCCTCCCATTGCCTGCTGCAGCTATTACACCGGGTGATCAGGGTGCTTGCAGAGCCATGTGTCAGAGAGGCCCAGAATGGGGGGATCACCCCAAAGTGTGTGCATACTTGGATACATGCACACACACATATGCACACC